TATTTTTTGATGTATTTTATTTATTTGCTATTTTACTATATATCGCGATAAGCTTCTGCCAACTGACTTTCAAATTAGATGGAATATCCTCGATTTGTTGGGTGGTTGGATCTCATGTAACATTATAATAAAAATAACATGCAACAATATTATTATATCTATATTTTTTTTCCTATATCCGTCTTCCACAGCGATTTAACATTTTTAACAATTAGGAATATGCCTTTTTCCGTCCAGTTAGGAATATGCTTTTTTATTTTATTTCCGTCCACTTAAAAATATGATAAACACGATAATGGTTACTTATTGAACAAAATATTCATGCATGTTTGCCCTGAATTACAATAGATAAGTTTCAAAAAAAAATTACAATAAATTTATTCATGTAATGAAAAACGTGAAGATGTTTGAACTTTACGATCCTATATTTCCCCTATATTTCTTCCTGGTTTACTGTAGTATTGGTTGAAAGAAGAATTTTGACTATATAGTGAATAATTTGTCGGCTCAATATTTCTTTGCAAATGGGTTTAAAATGATTGATTTTTACGTATAGGGAAAAAAAATCAAATATATTTAAAATAATCGTTAACAAAAAAAAAAAACTTGTCTTTGGCCTCCGGTCAATATTGAACAATTTGATAGTAAACTATTTAATAACTGTGAATAAACTTACTACAAACATAAATACTTGACCAGACAAAAATAAAAGTCATAAATAGAGCACTGAAAAATATTAATGGGAAAGAATTCAATAGTTTTTAAAACATCTAATAAACTTACTAACCTTAGACGACCTACTAATTAGACTTTAAAGCAAAGATTCGATTTAAAAGAACCACTCAAGACAATTAATTTCTTCATGAAGAAAAACAAATTCCACGTCAATTATCCACGTCAGCAAAATCTTACACGTGGACCAATAATGATAAAACGTGCACGGAACAGTAAAAGTGGAGATCCACGCGGTATCAACACCTTCACAATAATATTCCCTCAAAATCAAATGAGAATAAAAATAAATTTTATCCAATCCCGAAATTAACTCTTTTTCTGACAAAATAAATAAATAAAAAAGGTTTCGTGTAGTGAGAGGATACTCCACGTGTCGTTGATAAAAACAAAAATGGTTAGAAGAGTGACTGGTTTTATCCGGTAAATCAATATCCTTGACCTGCTATATCCGGTTGTGTGGTCAATATTTTTATTTTCTGTGTATTTTCTGAAAAAGAATAAATT